GAAAGAAAAGCAGCCCCTCTCCCTCCCAAAAATCTCCTCTCCCCCACATGAGCAGAGATGATGGGGCACAAATCAGTAGGACGCTTCAAAGAAGCAGAATTACATATATGTAATTTAAATACTGGAAAAAGGTACCATCATCCTCACAAGATTTTCATTCTTGGACACTTAGTGACTCAAGATATGTTTCAGGATAGAAAGTTGATATGCTTCTGTAAGCAGTGCAAAAAGGTTGATTATTAGTATTAGGACCCGTGAAAGTTTAAAAAAATTAAAACAGATAAAAAGGAATAAATACTTCTAAGCAGCAACAAAGGCATAAACTGATGGACCGGCAGAGCCTCCAAGAATATGTCTTCACGACACTTTCAAAAATCTGAACAGCTCAGTTAGAGACTTCTTTGACCTCCAAAGGAACTGTAGGTTACTTTATCTTGGAAACAGGTTCTGCAGTACTGAGAATTTAGATAGGAGCTCTTCCCCAGAGGTCAATGTGAGCAACAGTGCTTTGCAAAAAGGGATAGGAAAGACGATGAAAACTGTCCTTCCACATATCCTACATGAAACAATGGTAGCTAGTGGCAGTTGTGGTCCATCACTAGACAGAGGCGGTAAGTTGTTATTAAATGGTGCAGAAGAGAATTAAACATTTTTGTTCTGTATTTGGAAAGAAGCAAGATGGTGTACTTGTATCATACAAGGATGAAGTACTTTCCAGTCCATTAAAGAGATGTTAGACCAGAATTGTAAAGGATAAATATCTTTAAATCAGCAGGCCTGCACAACCTGCACTAGAGTTCTAAAAGAGTTGGCTGATGAGATCTCTCGCCTGATGATGTTAATTATGAATAAATCAAGGCATACTGGGGAAATTCTAGAAGACTGGAAAAGTGCTAATGTGCTAATATTCAAAAACTGCAAGCAGGACGATCTGGATAAATACAGGTTGGTTAGCCTGACATCAACCCCAAAACTGTAACAGAAGAGCTGCCATGGGATTAACTTGATAAATAATAGGAATATAAATTAATACAAGTCTATATGACTTTATAGAAAATAGTCCTTGCAAATAAATTGGATTCCATTCTTTGCAGACATTGTAAATTTGGTTGATAAAGGTAACTGAGATAATAAATTCAAGACTTCTTGCAAGGTGTTTAACTTAGTATATCACAACACTCGTAAAACTTGTATGGTACAGTATCAATTGAGCTCTTGTTGAACAGATTAGAAAACTGGCTGATAAGTTTTAAAAAGTAGCTGTCAATTAGGAATCATCACTGAATGGGATGTTTCCAGTAGGAGATCTAGGTAAAGCTCAGCAATATTCAATATTTTCATCAATAATTTGGAAATTATAAAACCACTGCTGATAAAAATCTGTGAATGAGACAAAGATTGGCAAAATGGTAAATATTGAGGAAGTAACTCTCTACTCTGGCCCATTCACATAAAATACATTTTGATACAGCCAATTTCAAAGAATGTAGGCCACTCCTGTAGAAAGGGTAACTGTATTTTGGAAAGCAGTCACTCTGAAAAGAATTTAGGTAACACAGTGGACAAACTAAACATGAGCTTCCACACAACGCTATTGCAAAATTGGACTAATGTGATCCTTGGATCTATCCCCAGAGAATAAGCAAATGCAAGTATTATTTTACCTCTTTACAGCGCACTGGTAAAACAGATACTGGAAAACTGTGTCCAGTTCTGATGCCCATATTTTAAAAATAATGTTGAAAAAAAAATTCAGAAATGGTGCGGAAAAGAGCCACAAAAATTATTTTTGTGGTAAAAGAAATATCTTATATCAACAAACTCAAAGAACTCAATTTGTTTATTTTACCAAAAAGAAGATGGAGAGGTGACCTGATTACAGTATGTAAGTTATCATCTCAGAGAGAAAATAACAGGTATAAAGGGGCTTTTTTTTTTTTTAGCAGAGAAAGGCATAACAAAAACCAATGGCTAGAAGCCAAAAGCAGACAAATAA